GTTAAACATACATTCAGTATGTTTTTTTTATATTTGACATAAGTAGATACCTTTTAAAATATTCACATAAAAATATCATTGAAATAAAATTGTGATATAATATTATGTAATATTATATTAAATAAGCAAATATAATATACAAAATAAATGACAAAATTTAAATATTGTACTCGATAAAATTTACCAATTTAACAATACAATCTACCCACAGGTCATTCTATCTATGTTTATTCTATGATAAAAAACAACCGCGCGAACACAGAGTAGTGTTTTTTAGTGGCTGCATTTCAAAATACCGTCGAACAGACCCCTAAGGACGAGTGGACAAACTGCTTTTCTCAGTGATTCCATTGGAACAGCCGTGTATTAATGTAAATGTACACTATTTTGAAAAAATATAATAAAATAACTTGCTAGTTTTTGATTTTTTAAGAACTTTCAGTGTCATACTCGTATCTATAATAAATTATTATTGATACTCAGTACAAAATACTGCCACCATAATTGCATTCACTTAACTATATTATCTAAATTACAACTAACATTTTACCTTAAGTCATAAAATCATCTCTATGCCTAAAGTAATAAAATTTTATTCCTACAAATGTTCATTCATTCAAATAAAATAGTCATTATAATAAAACATAGAAATTTCATCATCCAGATAAAAGTATAAAAAATTAAATTACAAAATATAAGAGATTAATTATTAATATGAATGAAAATTACGTCAACACTTTAAAACATACTGGCAAGTTTTTTTTAAACTTTAAAAATAGTGGGGACGGTGGAATCCTCAAACTATTATTGAAATAATCTTTTAACAATATGTAAAAGCCAACTTTGAAGAAATTGTTTGGAGTTGCTCTTACATTTTTGTTATTTTTTTTTTGACCTTTAAGTGGCCTGAGATATGACCCATCTCAAGATTGTCTAGTTACATCAAAAATTCCATCCCCTATTTTGCCACCCTTTTGGGTGGAACTTTTTCTCCAAATTTATATGTAACTATTACCGATTTAATAGAAAAGGAATCATGAAAATCGGTTCTCAATGTGCGAAAATATCGCATACCATACCCATATTATGCCATACGATATATTCGCACACGAGAACCGACATATAATTGAATTGTAAACTCCCTCCCCCCCCCCCCCCAATGAGAATACGAAAAACCATAGTACATAATATGAACTTACAATATTTTGTGTATATTTAATTTTAGACATGTGCTATAAATATATAGACTCAGTCATAAAGAGTTATATAAAAATTGATCACAATATGTCTAATACTATGAATGAGTAAGGCAACCAACCGTGGTGGAATCTAGAGTGCAATTCCATACTTCTAACATATAAAATTATTCCACAAATGATTCATCAATTAAGAATCGAAACTACTAGAGGTAGAGAGGTATTCAACTTTAAAATGGAAGATTTCTTTTGTGACAAAGTAAGATTTTTACGTTTAATTCAAATTAAAAAAACTATTTATGGGAGTATTTATGGTGTTTTGGTGAGCTTATCTCTTGTAGCATTTAAGAAAATTTATCCTCGAAAAGTGTGAAACTGGGGTTTAAAGCTTGTATGTGAGATCCTTAATTTTTAACATTAGAAAATGTAATTTGAGTTACCTTCATAGTTTGAAATATTATTAACTGACAGCTTAATAATCTGGAGTACATATTGTAGTTTTAGCAATAGGCATGGAGTTACGCTTTTAATGATTTAATTCCTTTTCATTGGGTGCGTTTGGCAGAAAAAAGCGCTAGCAAGCGCTTACAAGCGCTGAAATAGTTTTCCGCCAGGACACGATTACTACTTCAGTAGCGCTGACACAATCCGCCATTTTGCTTATTTAATTTGTTTGTTTTGAAGTAGAGTTTATAAGTTGTTTTGTGCAATATTAGTTTTAAGTAATATAATAACGTACATATATTTAAATTAGGTTAGGTTCCCCGGTTAAAACTAACATCGTGTCCTGGAGGAAAATAGCTAACAGCGTGACAGCGTTTACCGCTTACGATCGCCATTTTGCTTACAAGCGCTTGCTAGCGCTTTTTTCTGTCAAACGCACCCATAAGCTGGCGGCTAGAAAAATGTTATTATTGGTCCTTTGTTTATGAAATCAATAGTAAGTATAAATTATCATTGTAGAAAGTAGAACAAAAAATCACAAACATGATATATAAGGATAAATTGGGAAAAAATTAGTACGCCTGCATAAATCATGTTGGTTATTGGAATTTCTTCCTTACCGGTTGCATATCATGGTACTTTTAGTTTAACCTTTAAGTGCCGACATGTGGTCTGACAGACACTTTGAGAGTTCGAAAAGACTATAGTCAACCAAATCTAAGAAATACCTTTTGACGTTTCACACTAATTATTCAGCAATAACTTTGCACAAGCGTACTCACATGATTTAAAATAACCATTTACGTAAATCCGAAGAATTATAAAGTTATCTATATTTCATTACAACGTGTATAGTTTTTTTTATCACTAATTTAAATTTGAATCTTTCAAACAAAGCAAAATATTAAAAAATAACCAGTATCGACTTTTTTTACTTGACGTTGTCCCAATGATATGTCGCTATGTACATTACCATAGTGTTTGAATGATTAAAATTAATTGTTATGCGAATAATCGGCAAAAATATTCCAATAATTGGTAAAAATATTCAAATAATCGAATCATTAATTTTTTAATGTATTATTTGTTTAATTTAATTTTTATTTTTAAAATTCCTTAAATTACATGAATCATGAATAAAAAAAGTTTATTTTCTTAATTTGTCAACGTAAATTTGTGTAGGCAAAAAAACTCATATACAAGGCCGCGAAATAAAAAGCACTACATAATTTCGCCGGCCATTTCGGAAGCTTACTGTGCGTAATTTTGTGATTTTGTATTTGTCTTCTTATTTTGTGACTCGGCTTTAACTTTTTGGACTGTTTCTTCAATATTTTTTGAAGCATGTGCCCATTTTATAAAGGATAATTAGGCAAACGTGGTCGAAAAAAACAAAAAAAAATATTATGGATGACTTTGAAGGAGATATTTTTGTGGTAGAGCCATGCTGCAGCTGTATTAATTATGTAGTTGTAACACGAATGGGGAAGGACCACGCTCTCACAGAATACCAGCGTCAAATAGCAGCTTAATGCTGCTGTGTTTCATATGGTTAGGTGTAGAGAACCGGAGACCCTTTTTACTGGAAAAGAGGCATTCCATCTTAGTCCTCAAGGCTGACAACGCATCTGCATTTTTTTTTTTAGAACGAAAAAAAGTCCTCACGCTGAGACTCGGCGTGAGTGGTCTGTCCCCCCGCACCACCGCAAACCCACTCACATAAATCCAAAACCACGGCCAAATTTTGATTCGCAAACGAAGATAGATGTAGATGTCTATGGGCCACAACAACCACTTACCATTAGGTGGATTGTGTGCTCGCTTGTCACCCTTTTCCTATAAAAAAAAGACATTAATTTTGACTGCATTATTGAAATCAAACAATGACAGCTCAACTAATTGTACTGATAGTGATAGAATAAATTTATTTTTAATTTGGTTATAATCTTAAATTTTTATAACTGTGCCTCTAGAAATAAGCAGTACCTAACAACAAATATGTAGAAACTGATAAATCTTGTGTTTTAAATTATCCATATTTAATTTACTCCGGTATTATTAAAACCAAACAGTAAATGATTACCAACTCTATATAATCAATATCATTTTTTTAAGAATCGAATATTTTACGTTCCCATATTTTGGTTGGCATGCCTGGTGCAATAAGTCTGACAGCTGTCAAAATGTATTTCTTAGATTTGGTTGACTATAGTTACATTTTTTTGCGACGACATATCTCCCCGCACTCCTCTCTACCCCTCGGAGAGTCACCCGGCAGCGTTTGTGGAGAGTGGCTGTGTAGGCGCGTGCGATTCCCATAAGTTTTGATCATTATAAGATCGCGAGTGGTCTGTCAGACCACTCGTCTGTACTTATGTAACTTTTTATGGCATAATTTTTGTCAGAATACATAGTTTTCTCAGTTATTTTCATACAATTATAAAAATAGACCAGCCATGTACTTAGGGCATGAAACGGGCAGCCATAATCTCTAGTCGTTTTACAAATACAGTGGGTTCTGAATATATATCTTCTAAGAAAATTGCTCTTGTCAATTATTAGAGTTCTTGGGCCAGATGCACCAGAAAAAGTAAGGGAAGAAAATGAAGCAGAGGGAAATCAAACATGAAAACTCTGTCACACCTGTCCTTCCAAATTAAAGCGCAAGACTGCTTACAAATGTGACACTCATATAAAACATGTGTGACTACAATGCAGCAAGCCTGTATGCAAAGTGTTTGTAAACTTTCATAATTCTTACAGTTTAATGCCTTATGATTTCCAAGAAGACTGTTGATTTTTGTATAATTTTTATTGTTTATCTAGTTATTAATCTTTAGGGAAAAAATGTTGGTCTAGAGAAAATTATTTTTTAATTGCTAAAAGATAAAATTTCACCCCAAATAATTTTAGACAGCAACATTTATGTTTTTAATTAGTAATAAATGTGAAAACTTCTAAACTTTGTTTCACTTATACAATAATTGGATATATTAACAATATATAGAAATTTATTCTTTCGAAAAATATCAGGAAACATAAAAGATTTTGTTAGAAAAGCTATGGTGGTCTAGCAGACGTCACATCTTTACTTATGTAACTAAAATAGCATGTTGGTACTTAAAAGTTAACTGAAACTTTCTTAGTGCTCGTATATATATCAAGAAAATATATGCAAATGCAATGTCCATAAAATAAGGAAGGATTTTGGAATAAATAACAATTATAATTAGTGATATCAGTAGCTCAATAACAAGTTATACTTTACCCCATCCATGTTTATAACGACGTTTTCTGAAAAATTGCTTTGTTATGAAAAACTTTACAACTAAGAGAATAATAATAAAAGATAATATGTACAGGAGGCTTAACATTCCAATATCCAAGTCGGAGAAAGGGCTGGCAGCTACACTCGAACTTGCTAATCTTCTACTGTCTCGAATGTTTTCAGACCCATACATATTTTGAAGATATTGATACACTGCAGGTAAGTTCCAAGCACCTCTAGCAAGTCTACACTCAGGACACTTAGAAACACTTGGGAACTGAATTTTAGGATGTTTTGGATCCTCAGTTATATCCCCTGCCAGCCTTAAGTTCACTTCATTATGAGATATCCATAACCAAAGTACTGCCTTGTCATTTTCTTTTACATCAAATAATCTGTTTCTAGCTGCCATTACTTGAAAATGTTCAGAACATTCTGTGCATCCGAAGAAATATTTTACATATCCATGCATTGCTTTTAACACTGTAGGCCCTTCTGTGCCTGCGTTCTTTGCTGCATTAACTGTCAGTGTGTGGAACAAAGTCCAAAGGCCACATGTGTAACCTCTGTATTTTGGTAGGCTGCCCTTACAGCCTATGTAATCTAGGTCGGATGTGTACACTGGTGCATGATTAGTTTCTAATCTTTTTACAAGATCATATACTTCACTCCCACTCCATTCCTTTCTGGTCCGAAGAGTCTCAGCTAAATCTATTATGTAGGCTTTAAGATTACCTCTAAAAGGGAATGCACTTATGAGAACATCTAAATAGTTCAAAAGGGCTTTTAGAGCTTCATCCTTTAATATTTTGTGTCTTATAATTTCTGTGTGTAAACTTGTCTTTATAGTTTTTTCTAAATCACTGTAATAAACTATGTCAGAATTAAGGGACAGTTTATCATCAGAGTCGAGATTTATGTTCAATTCCTGTGTGTCTATTTTACGGACAGGGAATGCATAGTTTTTAGATTTTAAGAATGTGTTAATAGCTTTCAGCAAAGTCTGTTTTGTTGGATTCTTTGGTGTTATTGATGTGGGTTCCAAAGTAGAACTTAAAGCAACAAGACCAGGAAAGTGTGTGACTCCAGCAACATTTGCCAATTCACTAGTATCATAGACCCTTTTAACTCTGATCAGCTTATAATCATTTATATCCAAAGCAAGCTCTGAGCCAACAGTGGAGTTTGCATTTTCAAATACTAAGAATGTGTACAAAACATCACTCGGGACATCACTTAGCGCTGATATATATGTAGCATAAGAAGCAATGTTAAGGGATGGGGAGAAAATCAGACGCCCCATACTTTGCTCTGCCTGCATTTTAACAATGAGTTGTGATTTTAACTTTTCAGCAGAATCTGTAGATTGAAAACGTTCACCAATATTGGCATTACCTTTAACATAATGTTCATGTATGTACCTGAAGGATGGATAAGCCATCACTTCAAATCGTCTACAAATTTCATTGTTTTCATCTACAGAACAATCAAGAACAGCCAACTGTATAACATCCTTCCATGCTACTATATCTGCTGCCAGACTCTTAAATTTCGGAGCAAAGGCTCTACAATGCCCGCAATAACTATTATAAAATTCCACTAATAAGGCATGTTTTTGACCATAAACTTTTCTGTCAAAATTTCGATTAGTTAATATGATAACATGATCCGACTTACTATATAGTCCTTGTTCATCGATATCACCGGTATCTGCTATTACTGCCCCTTTCACCGGATAATTTAGAAGTAGGATACACAGTAAAAATAAACTAACTCGGTACATCATGAATATCGATACTGTAAGTAAAACATGCAACAAGAAATGTTCCAAAAGTACTGAGAAAAAACACCCTCCTCTCACACGTAGTGGCTTCTGACTGGCTTCCTGCCTTATATTTTAATTAAGTTTCACTTCAAGTTTTCAAGCATTTAAAATTCAATACGTCACAACTACTAATCTACTACTAATAAACACACCTACTTAAAACTACTTTAGCTCATAAAAATTAATCACTCCCGCTCACGTTTCATAACTTAGAAATTATGGAGGGTTACCTTTACACTCCATACTAGTATTAGAAATGCTTATACTTATAATTATAAATATAAAATATAAATTAGGGATGTTCGATGATCATCGAGGATAAAAATTAAAACATCGATGTTGCCATATGTCAAACATCGAAACCTCGATACCAATGAACCACCAATCGATTAATAAGAACTTGTGAATAATGCGAACCCGCGAAATCAATATCAACTAAATATTTCATCTCCTACTTAAGGTTTAAAATTTTGAATAATTCAGTATTCCCAAATGCATCAATCACCTAAAAAATGTCGTTATGTTGTGTCAAACTCCCTGTCAAGTGTAAACTGTAATATCACAGTTGTCACTGCTTTCGCTTTGTTATTCTGTGGTGTCTTTGACGGTTGTCGCTTAATAACTATTCTACAAAAATTGATATTCAAATTATTTGTTTTTCCCTTGCTGTCTATACACACATAATTTTGAAACAATATGTATCTATACAATTCAATTATATTTAGCTGTGTTACTGTTATTTGAGCTTGGGATAACGAGTTTATTCTTTGCTTTAAGTTTACGAAAATAAATCACTGGGTGATCATGAGAATAGACGATTTCACTGCATAGTGCATTCTACAGTTTATTTTATAAACGGCTGTGGATACTTACTACTTGGGCTGCCCGATTAAAAATTGTGAACAAAGGTGACAGAAAAGTCTATTATTTTGTTTTTGTGAAGTTCGTTACTTTTCCCTCTGTAATCATATTTTTTCGTGATAGGAGTTTTTATTATAAAACCTACGTCTAACTCGTAAATTAGTCCCATAGTAATTTCTTTCATACCAGATTTATGATTGTGTAGGAGGACTTAAAGATCAAAATAATGACATTCATCATTATCGGCAAAAAATATAATAAATGAACTAAATATTTGTTAAGTTTTACCCGTTTTTTAATTTACTCTTTGACACTAAATGTTTTATTAATTTCTTTCATTTCATTAATAATAAACCATAAACAACACTACTAATTTTTGCTCCTCTAATTTCGGCCTATTTCGAAGAAAAAAACATCGATGTTTTGAGTAGGGTAAACATCGATGTTAGGCTATCGATATCAACATCGAGCATCTCTAATATAAATGTAAAACCATAGATAGATTATATCAGATATATCCGTAGACAGAGAAACCTATAGACAAATTGACGCCTTCTTTCGCATTCGCACACGAAAAAGATAGATTTATGCATACGTCTTGCATAGAAATGAGATAGAGCGGTGTGATTGTTTGTCCCTTTCCCCGTGCCGGTTTTTTGTTTAGCAAACTCTACAGTTTGCTAAACAACTTTATCAGCGTAGCGATTTAAGGAGTTTACAAGTTGGTTTAAGTGAGAAAAAAGGGTTTTGTGAGCTTAAGATTGGTGAATCTTGTTCAGTTCAGTTCTTAGAACAATAAAAAAAATTATTTTAATGTGTTTAAAAGTCATAAAGATTATTGTATAACCTAAAAATTCGTTATCGTCCTTTCTCACTCGAGGCCACGCCGATCATTAGTCTATAGGTTTCTCTGTCTACGGATATATCAATGACCACAAATTAATAAGAACACAGAACACTATTACTCGTAGACCGAGAAACCTATAGACAAATTGACGCCTTCTTTCGCATTCGCACACGAAAAAAATAGATTTATACATACGTCTTGCATAGAAATGAGATAGAGCGGTGTGATTGTTTGTCCTTTTCTCCGTGCCGGTTTTTTTGTTTAGCAAACTCTACAGTTTGCTAAACAACTTTAACATCGTAGCGATTTAAGGAGTTTACAAGTTGATTTAAGTGAGAAAAAAGTGTTTTGTGAGCTTAAGATTGGTGAATCTTGTTCAGTTCAGTTCTTAGAACGATTAAAAATTTTTATCTAAATGTGTTTAAAAGTCATAAAGATTATTGTATAACCTAAAAATTCGTTATCGTCCTTTCTCACTCGAGGCCACGCCGATCATTAGTCTATAGGTTTCTCTGTCTACGCTATATTACTCCTAGCCGTAGACCAGAGAAACCTATAGACTAATGATTAGCGTGGCCTCAAGTGAGAAAGGACGATAACGTAGTTTTAGGTTATACAATAATCTTTATGACTTTTAAACATATGTAGAATTTTTTTTAATTGTTCTAAGAACTGAACTGAACAAGATTCACCAATCTTAATCTCACAAAACACTTTCTTTCTCAATTAAACCAACTTGTAAACTCCTTAGATCGCTACGAACTGTAAAAGTTGTTTAGCAAAGTGTAGTTTGCTAAACAAAAAAACCGGCATGAAGAAAGGGACAATCAATTACACCGCTCTGTCTCATTTCTATGCAAGACGTATGTATAAATCTATCTTTTTCGTGTGCGAATACGAAAGAAGGCGTCAATTTGTCTATAGGTTTCCCTGTCTACGCTCCTAGCGGAGAAATAAGAGTACTAACGTAATCAATGACCCACCAAAGATATTAGAAACCTTAGAGTAAAGCGCCGGTTACACTGTGCGAGTTGGCGTGCGAGCTAGCCTAATCAGCGCTAATCAGTTACTGTAGTACATCTACTCGCATTTTGTGACCGCATCATGCGTAGAATTCTAGTATAATCTTAGTAGTATGTGGTCAATACGAGTCGTACGAGTGCCGACGCTACTAACGCCGAAGCCAGACGACTTGTGGACCCTTTGTGTTCTCCAGTTTTCGTTTACTTTGTTGTTTTGATTGATTTGTTGTTTAGATGAGATTTTACGGAAGTTGAACATTTAAAATTTACTATAGAAAAATTGACTCAGGAGATAATAACGGCAAACAATGAGATTTATAACTTAAATCTTGAAAATAATTCGTTAAAAAAAAGTTGCAGAACTATGAACAACAATTCTACAAAACTGTTGGGATAGAAGGCCTAAGAAGAAATACAACTGGTTTAACAAAAAGATTTTACTCACCACAATATAAAAAAATAAACTCAGTATATAAATCTTTAGGGGATTTAGCTTTTCCCCAGATGATTAAATCCGCAAAACCTATTAAGTTGCAGCTTAATAGTACTTTCTCGAAAAGTTTCGATAACCTTCAAAGCTGTTACAAACCGATTGAAGGGTTGGCGTCTATCTCAAATACACAAAATAGCACACCGATTAAGAACACTGCTTCGGGTATAAATGATAAACCTTGCGTGAGGTCACGTGCCGCTAGAGCAAGTTCACTCAACGAAACTCGTACTTCACACACTCAACAAAACATCAAACATCGAGTCATGATATTGTCAGATCAAGCAGGTCGCGGTTTGAGAGGTAAATTACAAAGTTTACTAGAAAATGATTATCATGCTACATGTTTTTTAAAGCCGAATGCAAAAATGAATGTATTATTAAATTCATGTAATACCCTTTGCATGGACTTTACTAAGGAGGATTATGAAATTATACTTGGTGGTTCAAATGATAATGATCTAATTTCAATCATTTTTGTATTATACGTTACACCAAATGAAATGTACAAATGTTGTGGTATGAGAAATTCAAAAAAAATATTATTTTAATGAAACAAAGCTAAATAACCTAGTTTAGTGGAATTGTAAAAGCTTCAGTCTTGCGTCTTTTGTGCCCGTGATGTATAATAATACTCATAATGATGGTCGCGGGTATAAAAATTTAAATACTGTTGCAAAAGTAATTCTTCGTGAAATATTGAGAGTGAAGTATAAAATAAATTATATTAACTTTATAACCAAACTACGCAGCTCGAATAATAATAATAATACTATGAGGGCAAATGTTCCTGGCATTGTAATTCAAACAGCTAATAATTTGAAGTGCACTACAGGCACTCAAACTGAGGATATTCCTCCTCAAAGTTGCATTTCGCTTTTTCGTCAATAATAATACATTAAGTCAGCTGCCCAAAAAAAACTTTGAATATTTTCTATCAAAACGTCTGTGGTGTAACAAATAAAAAATGTGACATAGAACTGTATATTAATTCTGTAAAATCTGAGTTACAATACGTTTGTTTTTGTGAACATTTCTTAAATGAGGTTTCAGCTCCTATATTTAAATTAGAAGGTTATAAATTAGTAGCTTACAATTTCCGAGCAAACAAAATACGAGGTGGTTCAATGATATTGGGTTTAAATGATGTTAAATGTGAGGAAGATGCCTTCTGCAAAAAACTATATAAGTCTGAACATTTTGAAATTTGTGGTATTAAAGACTTGAACTCACATATTTATGTTTGTTGTTGCTATCGAAATCCTATACAGAAAAATTTTGATCTTTTTATGGAAAGATAGAGCTATTTTCTGAACATTTTTTTAATAAGAAATTTATATCATGCGGTAACTTCAACATTAATTTATTGAACAATGATAAACAAAAAAATGAATTTTCGAACTTGTTGACTTGTTATAATTTCAAATATTTAATTGACTCAGCAACCTTTTTGCGCAATAATGTAACATCTTGTCTTAACAATGTAATTACTAATATAGATACAACAAATATTGACAGTAGGGTAGAGCATAATGGTCTCGCAGACGGTCACGCTGATTTATTTTGTACAGTAGAATTGTAAAATAAAATGAGTCGTAACATGAATGAAAGTTTAAAAATTAGTCGTAGAATGTTAAGTGACCACAACTCAGCAGAATTTAGAAAGCAAATTAGCAAAATAAATTGGCACAATCTAGGAATAAATTCTTTTCTCAATAAATTAAGTTACACTTTCAAA